TTAATAAAGACAATTTACCGTAACAAAACCCAGAAATTGCAAACTAACCTTTGCAAACTGAAGAATGATATGAAACTACTTCATAATAATAATAATTAACATTTATTTAAAAAACCCAATATAATGTTACTCTAATCTTCCTTGTACACTAGCTGTTTATCTTAGAAAGGCTCGGGTGCTTGTTAAAATATAAACAGTGTTAATAAGGCAGCAGTGTACTTCATTTTACATTTAACAGCTTGTGTACCACATTTATTTTGTTTTAATAAAAGTCAGCATATGACTCAATCTCAATAAAATGTGGCATCCACAAAAAAGAATAAAACAATAACCGATAGATGGCAGTCATGCTGCAAATTAAATGCCAAGCTCTACAAGAACCACAAGTCCTGGCTATTAAGTCAGTAATTGGAATTTTGACTTGAACTTTTGGTATAGTTTTGATTATTGCATAAGGACACATATTTAAATTTGAAGAGATTTGTCAATATTTGGAATAGGCTTGTATCCCTGAAGAGAGGTAAGGTTGGGTAGGAGAGAAATATCATTAACATGCCTTGACTAGGGCAGGACTGTCTCTTTCAGCTAGATTTATGGATAAATCAATAACTGAGAGAGTTATGGATGCTTTCTTAATGGAGAAATAATGCAATATTTTGAGACACAAGATCTCCCAATTTGTTTGATCAAACAGGAAAATTTCCTAATTAAAATCATCACACAAAAATGTATAACAATGTGCTTATATTCCAAAATATATGTTTTACTCATGGCACACCACATTCAGTCAATTCAAGCCTGTGGTATAAAAATGTAATCAATTTTCCTGTGAATATACAGTCTGAACAATAAGTGTGTAAATTGGGGCCAAATTAGTTGAACCACCAAGACTACACAGAAGAAAAAATGAATCATTTTATCCTTAGCTGAATTTGTAGTTTTACTTCTCTTGCTGAAAGATTTATAGGATGCTGATGGCTCCATGGCTATGAGTACAGAATCTTCTTAGGGAAAAGATCTAATAGATTTATATTAAAATCTATTGTCAGAGTGCACAGTCAGGGCTAGAATATACACATTATTATTTTAACACATCATTTTAAACTATTGTAAAGGTAACAATTCAATTATAATTCCACTGCTTTTACTGATAAAATCAAATTTTATTCCCTTTTCTTTTTAAATTTCATGGTCCTATTGTCACAAATAAAGCAATGATTCTATGATTCTATGAAATGGCAACTAAGTTTCAATATATTTTATGTCTTATTTGTTGTAAACTACTTTGAAAATTCTGAACTCAAGTGTTTTTAATTGACCACAAACAAATAAATAAATTAAATAATTGAGCATTCATGGCTTAGCATTTACTTTTAAAATGAGTTCTCTACAAGTAAAATAAAATAGCTCTTCTTGCATTTCCCGTGCTATAATTCCAATCTTAAAGAGATCCTTTCTTTCAACCTAAACTTATAAATACTGGACACCCACAATAAAACAGAAAATGTATGAGTTCTGGCAATAGTACTATCATCATCTCATCTTTTTGTCAAGTGAGTGATTCAAGCTAATAATATTATTCCATATTGGCTTGTATAATGTGATGAAGACGACAACGACGATTATTTTATTTCTTACTTGCCTTTCCCTCTTATTCGAGGCACGTTACACAATTAAAAATCACAAACATTGCAAAAATTCAGCAAGTATACATATTTCTATAAAATTTCATATTAAAACTGTGTTTCTATAAAATACATATTAAAATACACAAAACAGACATCAAACAAACAACGTGAGTTTATGATTCATAGTTTTAAAATGTCGAAGTGATAAGGATTGGAAACTGATGTAGGTAATTGACCTGATTAAAATGGCTTCAAACTAAATCCAGGTACTCATGCATTTCTATCAGGAGCAACTTGAGAAACTGCAAGTCACTTCTGGTGTGAGAGAATTTGCCGTCTGCAAGGACGTTGCCCAAGGGGCACCCAGATGTTTTTGATGCTTTACCATTCTTGTGGTAGGCTTCTCTCATGTCTCCGCATGGGGAGCTGGAGCTGACAGAGGGAGCTCTGTCAGCACAAGGGTTTAACCCATTGTGCCACTGGGTGTGCATTGAGGGATTGCTACAAACCAGAAGAAAGAGGAGTATTCTGGATTACAAGGGTGACATGTACTTAAGATGGAAAGCGCACCACCTTCATGCACATGAATTAGTTTTTATGGGAATGCCCTCAAAGGGCTGTACCTTCATCAACTCTGTAATCATTTTTCTAACTGGAGTGCAGAGCAAAGCTATTCTAGTAGGGTTGGGCCCAAGAGGCCAATAGCTAGTTATCTATCTGTGAACTTAGGTATGACTGACATTAACTGAAGAGTCAGAAGAAAGGAGAATCAGAGTTAATATCAACTGCATTTTTCCACAGGAGAGAATAGTAGGTAGAATAATGTCTCCACATGATGAATGACGTTTCTTCTGGTAATGTTAAATTAATGCTGGTGCATGTTAGAGCCAATTGAATAATTTGTAACATAAAATATTTCTGACAAATTGTGTTTCTCTCTTCATGGAATGAAGTCTATGAGTCAATCACTTTCTCTATTTTATTCATTATTTGAGACACTTACAGAAACTTTTTGCAAATGTCATTGCTTGGAGTCCTTTGAGACTTGAACTGCCATGCTCATTTGTGATTGCTCATGTAAGCCACATATGGTTTTATTTCTGACTGACTGAACACAGCTTTTATAAACGGGATGCAGAAGGAAATAAATGGAGGAGAAAAATGTCTGTGTATGCACATATGTGGGTCCGTCTGCGTTGAACTGGTTTTTATGAACTTTCTGCTTAATCATATGAATGTTCACCAACAACACATTAGGAGGAATGCGTCTGTACATAATTTCTGATGAACTGTTGACAGGCGATACTGAGATAAAATTTTCAAAGTGCTATTTAAAAATCCAGGTTCTGAGGCATAGCTCATCAAGGAAGACAAAAGCTCTATTTGCAATGGAAATCTACATTCCCAGTCTTTCTGCAGAGTTGTGGCATACCTTACCTCTGGTTACAGAGTAAATAGGAAGGACAGAAGAGAGAAACTGGTACTGATGGGTTTTAAAAGAACTAATCAGTCTAATGGTAATACTGAACTCCCATAACACTCAGCTTTATGGAGATACATATGAATTTATAGAGATACATATGAATTTATGATAAGGTTAGATTTCGACTATAATTTTTGGATTTCCTCAAACCTGCGACCCACATTTTGAACTCACATTTTGAACTCCCCTTTTGAAGCAGCTTCATTGGTTGCCTATTTGCTTCCAAGCCCAATTCAAAGTGCATGCTATTACCTATAAAGCCCTATATGGTTTGGGTCCTGCCTATTTATGCGGCCATATCACCCTTTATGAACCTGTTCGGGCTTTAAGATCGGTTAGGAAAGCCCTCCTCTCTATTCCACCTCCATCACAAGGGAGGTTGGTGGGAAGGAGGGAGAGGGCCTTCTCAATTGTGGCCCCCCAGCTCTGGAATTCCCTCCCCAGGGAAATCAGACAAACAACTACCCTCATGACTTTTAAGAAGGACTTAAAGACTTGGCTTTAGAAAATAATTAGTAACTCTTAATGTGGATGAGGTCTTTGTTTTTATGGATACATTTGAGCACTTTGGCTTTTACTTAACTTATTTAATTTTATTGGAATCATTATGTTTAAATGTGTTTAATTAATGTTTTTACTGTTTATTGTTTAATTAATATTTTGTTTTATTTGTTATCCTTATCAATTTGTCATTTACTTTGTATTTATTGTTTATTGTGTTTTACTCATGTTGTGAGCCACACCGAGTCTTTGCAGGGAGATGGGGCGGGATAGAAATAAAGATGATGATGATGATGATGATGATGATGATGATGATGATGATGAGGTGGAAATCATATAGTCCCCCTGTCATTTTACATTTATATGATTTCCACTCATAACCTTGTGATGGGCTTCCTCACTAGCTTCTACAAGAGACATCAGGATTGCTGTCAAGATTCTTCGACAGAACAGAACACCAATAATAACTCATTCCTTGTGAGTATCCATATCTGTAGGCTCCATGTCTCGGACCATGGATCATCATGGACCATTTTATTAAATGGCAGCAATGTGAATTCAGACATACAGAAATGTAATAATCCATATTTTTTGTAGTCAAACAGAAAACTGGAAACAACCCCCCATGTATACCACAAGCTCAGTGTTTTACAATATATCATATTGTCTATATCACAGGAAGAAAACTTGAAACTGATTGGATATAAATGTCTTTTTTTTTTGTTACGTACTAAAAACTGGCCAACCTGCAATTCAATCTCATTTGAGCTCTGACCACTCTCACTTGTGGAGTCCTTCTCCCAGAGTGTTGCTGTAAGATATTACAGTACCTTCTTCCCTCAGTCCCCAGCAGATATTCACAACTGGATATAATGTATCACACCAGGTCACTAATGGGAATGTTAGATTTCCCAATCTAGCTCTCTTCCTATGCTAACTATTGAAACATACATACACTGGACTGAATCCATGGTATTTAAATCTGGTGCTTCCAGTGCGATGTAAAAATAGCATATCTGAAAACCCACAGAATATTATGAATACAATATTCACAGAGAGAGGAAGTTTTACTGTGAATTTTGAAAAGTGTAAACTGTTTCAAGTGATTACCAAATATATTTATAATTGCTCCTGTAAGCATACATATACTTCCAGCTTGCTATAAAAGCCTAGCATTTTCACAATATTGGATTTACAAATTAGAAATGTGAAAACTTTAATGAGTGTGGATTCCTTAAAATAGCACAAGGATGCTATTTTATTATTGTATTATAAAACAAAACAAAAGGAGGAAAGGAATGTGTCAGAATTTTTTGGGAACTGCATTGAGGTAAAATATGCATCTTGCTTAAATTGTTCACCCCATTCTTTATTCATTATGCCCTTACCTTGCATTGCCAAGATGGGCTGTTGTCAGATTAACAAGAGCTGTAGCAGCAGCTTCTTTTACCTCTTCATTGTCACTGCTTAGCAACTGAACCAGCTGGGGAATTCCTTTGGAAAAAGAAAGGGGAAATGTATATATGGAGTTTCAAAGTAGCCGTGGCAAAATTGTAGAATGGTACATATTTTCTTCGGCATCAAAATTCCATTTCTGCCATAATCAATTTACCTAGCGTTCCAATGGCTTGTTTGCTGGCTAAATTCTCACACATTGCCGAGATGGCTTGAGAAGCAGCAATTTTAGTTCCATCACTATCTGTTCCCAATAAGGTGACAAGGCATTTTTCAACTTCTTGTTCATTGAAGATTTTTCTGATTTCAGCTGTACATAGAAAATTATAAAAACAAATCAACAGCAGCACAAACACTAAGTTGTATATAATGGTAAATGTATTGAACAGAAAGTACTAATATCAGTTGTCTGATATTCCTAGCAAATATTTGCTTTTCTTCAGTGCAATATTTCAAGAGAATACACTAACATACATTTGGAACATTTTCAACTTGAGTTTGTACATGTAAGTTGATTCAAGCTTGCCGAAGTCTGGAGAAATACAAGGCTCTTTAGAACAGGTCAAAAGCACACATTTCAATTATCAACCATAAATACATGAACTAACAACATTAGCAATTATGTTCCCTTAAAAAGCAACAACCCTGAATTTATGCAGAGTCAGGAATGCACATGCCTTTTCCCCTCACCAGCTCTATCCTTGCTAGGGTATAATGCCTTCCTTCAATTAGTGCTAATAAGAGCCATGTACATGAAAATTAAAAGGTCACTTCTCCAGTAGAGTTGCTGTGTATTTGACAGTTGCCATAAGAATCAAATTAATGCACAGGCTAGCGACAATGGAAGGCTAGTTAAAATGTGTCTGATGCCTCTCTCACATATTCCTCTATTTTCCTTGCAGATCCAGATGAACAGAGAAGAGTAAGGAGCTACTGTTTCACATGTGAAGCAAAATATTGGTGTGGATATGCCATAGTTTGACACCAACACACAACAGACACCTCGATACATTCCATGAAACCAAGTGCCCAAATTGCTTTTGCTTTTCATGCAGGACCAATTTGCAAATTGTCAAAAGGTTATACACTTCAAATTTCAAAGCCAGAGTGTGCAAATAAGTAGACATGGTTTCTCATCCCTTACACCTCATCATGCAACCTGTGAAGGTGTGATAGAGAGGTTGACTTCTTCATATCATTAATATTATGGTTTTATCTGAAGCCTAGAAGATATATCGAAATATAGCCTTCACCTCATTTGTTTTCTTGAATAGATCTGCCAAAATGTATAACTTCCACAATAAAGTGGGAAAATGATGCCAGTAATTGTTTTATTGGGGGGGGGGGGCACCAAATGTTTCAAACAAACAACTAAATAGAATGTTCATCCCAGTTTTTTTATTTTTCAGTGATATTTGTTGTTTATTTGTTCAGTCGCTTCAGACTCTTCGTGATCTCATGAACCAGCCCACACCAGAGCTCCCTGTTCACCATAGCCATCCCCAACTCCTTCAAGTTCAAGCCAGTCACTTCAAGGATACCATCCCATCCATCTTGCCCTTGATCGGCCCCTCTTCCCTTTTCCTTCTATTTTCCCCAGCATCATTGTCTTCTCCAAGCTTTCCTGTCTTCTCATGATGTGGCCAAATTACTTCATCTTTTCCTCTAATATCCTTCCCTCCAGTGAGCAGTCGGGCTTTATTTCCTGGAGTATGGACTGGTTGGATCTTCTCGCGGTCCAAGGCACTCTCAGAACTTTCCTCCAGCACCATAGTTCAAAAGTGTCTTATCTTCCTTCGCTCAGACTTCCTTATGGTCCAGCTCTTGCATCCATAGGTTACTACGGAGAATACCATTGCTTTAACCATGCAGATCTTCGTTGCCAGTGTGATGTAGGTAGTCTTCACTATTTTATCAAGATTTTGTCGAGATTGGTCATTGCATTCTTCCCAAGAAGTAAACATCTTCTGATTTCCTGGTTGCAGTCTGCGTCTGCAGTAATCATTGAGAACGCACACACACATGCACACGCACACTCAAAAGCAGACCTTTAAACAGAACCTTTTGTAAAGTTGGTTTTGTTTTGCATGAACACCAAATGTTTGGGAGAATTTTAAATGAAATTAGAAATAAGGTATACTACACAGAAATGTGTAACTGAAAACACTCTAGAGATTGTATTAATTGGGATTATGGGTTGGCTTGACATGTAATGGACTTTGTCTCTGGCTTGATGCTTGCCAAACTTGTGTATAATCCCTCATTATGGTCTCTCAGGGATCTCCATGCTTTAGTAATTCATTTTTGACATGGTGACTTATTCTTTTCTTGGTATCTGGAACAAAAGTGTTTATGATTCTTCCAAATAGTAATTATGGTAAAAGATTTTTAAAAATGAAAACATATTTCAGTTGTTCAGAAAGAAAAGTAAAAGGAATTCTTAATAGCCAAAAGGGAAAATGAGAACCATCTGAAACCTAAGAGTGCAATTTCGCAACCCATTATAGTGCAAGTGCTACAATAGTTCAACTGATGTAAATTAAGGCTGTGCTAGGAAGTATATCCAGCTATATACAGTAAAGCTGACTCCTGAATAAATCTGGGTAAGACTGTGCTGTAGACCTCTAAGTAATAATCGTGGAAAATCCATATTCTTCATCCATAATGTAAATAGGGATTTGTTCATAATGCCCTTACTCCTAGACCAAAGATTTCATTACTGCTATCCATTGTTGAAAGCTACATTCCAGCCCAGTTCACATAGGTGGCACTGGCTACATAATGGCTTAGTAAAGAAATAGACAGATGTTTGGGATAACCTCCATCAGCCACAACAGCTACAGCCAAAAGTCAGGCTAGTGTTATGGGAATTGTTATTCAAAACATCTGGAGAGCACTGGTTTGCCTAATTCTAGTTTAGCAATATCCATAAACAAACTGCCATGAGTCTCAGATATGCATTTCCTTGTTTCTCTTGAAGCGCAAAGAAGAGATTTTGGCATAATTTAGGATGTCATTCTATAAAGCTCAGGTTGCTTTTATGTAGAAACAAGGCACTGTCATTTAAAGTGAACTCTATGCTAGATTGTAACTCATGGTTTGAAATCAAGCTATTTAGAAATTGACCCTAATTGTCATCATCATCTTTATTTATATCTCACCCCCTCTCCATAAGGACTTGGGGTGGCTCACAACAGAATCAAGTCACAATACATACATAAGCAGAAACCAAAAAGATAAAAAGACCATTATAATTTGTTTCAAAACAGCAGTTGCTGTGAGTTTTTTGGGCTGTATGGCCATGTTCCAGTAGCATTCTCTCTTGACGTTTTGTCTGAATTTGTGGCAAACTTCCTCGGAGGTCAAGAATATGTTTTAAAATATATTCTTTAGTTCATATGCAATTACCAGGCTAGTTTGGTGGAAAAAGAAACTAAACTTCTAAAAAAATATGCCTTGCAGTCTTGGAGAAAGGGATAGTGAGGCTAAAGACCACTGTGACTCCTTCCTGCTTAAGCAGTTTGCATTAACCTAAGATTTCTGCTAAGTGCAAACCAAACATGAATCTTCTATGTATACTTCAATGAGTAAAGCCTCTCCCATGGAGTTCCTATTTGCAAAGGCTTTTTAAACCCTACTAAGCCCTTCTTTTCTTCTCATCCTCTGTCTAGCTAGAAGTTTTCTGGAACAATCAAATTGAGAAGGAAATTGAAAAACAGCTGGAGAAAAACAGGTTTGATTTGAGTAGCACGTCTGCAGGAGACAATGCAATGAGTAAAGCTCAAGCTGCAAAAAATAGGCTCTTAATTCTAGCCGACTCTCCTAAAGCCATGTGTACATTCCTACAACAATCACAGTAAACAGCATGCATGAATAGCAAAACAGAGAGAAAAGGAGAGAGTAGATAAGCTTGACTCACCATCAAACCCCATCATGATTTTTTAAAAGCATATGCCTATCAATGTGGCATCTTTTAAAAAGTGGATGTATCATTCCTAGATGAATTTTGGAAGAAGCATCCCAATGGTTTCTAGAATGTTTTTCTCTATGAATGCAAAGATTACCTGACCTAATAGTTTCCATCACTTATATTGTTAGTGTTGAAATAAAGTCTAATGAAACATGTTGTACCACTTTTCTTAGTTCTTGCTATTTGTCATCACGGTGATTTCAACTTATGACAACCCTACGAATGGGAGACCTTCAAGGTCATATCCCATTGCCCTGCTCAGGTCTTGCAAACTCAGGTTTGGGGTTCTATTGACTGAATCAATCCACCTGCAGTGTGGGCTCTCCAAGAACCCATCCCTATTCTGCTTCTGGTGCCAAATGTTCTAATAAGGAAGTAATGAAAACTTCCACCTTGATAAGTTTAGCTTTTGTTTTATTTTTCATGTCAGGAGTGACTTGAGAAACTGGTGTGAGAGAATTGGCTGTCTGCAAGGACACTGCCTGATGTTTTACCATCCTGTGGAAAGCTTCTGTCATGTCCCCACATGAGAAGCTGGTGCTGACAGATGGGAGCTCACCCCACTCCCTAGATTTGAACTGTCAACCTTTTGCTCAGCAGTCCTGCCAAATCAAGGGTATAGCCCATTGTGCCACTGGTGGTGCCTGGTAAGTTTAGTAGACTTCAGTATTACTTTTTAAAGTTATTCCCATTATTATATATAATGGGAATAACTTTAAAAAGTAATACTGAAGTAGCGCTGGAATAGTAGCAAAAAAGGTATTTTTATGTTAATGCTTGAAAATAGCCAAACCAGGGATAGATCAAAAGGAGAAAGGATTATTTAAATTAGTCATTCCTATAAAGGAGTAACTGCACATTCTGGTCATAACAAAGATACACGGTTTATAGTTACTTAAATTAATCTACATTAAATAGTAAGTAAGAGAGCTAGCCGGAGGGGAGATGACCCTACATTTAATCTCAAATTATACCCAGGATACGTTATGACATATGTTATTGATCCAATGGGTGGCAACTGTCACAATGACATTAAATTTAATACAGAAGTGAACAATTACCAAGAACAACCAACACAATCACAACTGACTGTAAAATAAAGAACTATCTTAAAAAGATGTTGCTAGGGTAAGTCAATGGGATACAACCCTTAAAAATAATACCAATAATATATATTGCTATTATGGCATGTAATTCCATTAAAAAAGCCAACCTTGGGTATGGTAGTTGTGAAAATAGTCAATTCCATGTTGGAGATCATGATGGAAGACACTGAAAACAAAACTGCCAGGATTGTAATACCTTTGCACATGTATATGGTATGCTACATAATTTAAGGT